CCTGGAAACAGCCAATCACATTCCAGCAGTGAGAGTCAGCTGAGCGGCGCCCTCTACCTGCCGTCAGTGTGATCTGGTGGCGGATGAATAAACCGCAGCAGAGGGTCACGAGTGAAGATGGAAGAAAAGTCTGGTTTATTCTTTTGTCTAAACGTTAATAAAAGAGCTTGAGTCGCTGTTTAACGTGTGTGTCGATACTGAAGTCTTGGGTCCTGGTGGACATGAGAGCAGGAAGTCAAACCCACATGACCTCCGCTGGTTCTCATTATTCTTTCTTTATTCTTTTTCTCCACTAAAAGTGTTTGGGCAGCAAAAACTGCTGCACAAAAACTCACCAAAATTGGCAGGTGAGTTGCAAATTCCACCTACAGCTCAGGCAAAAAGCACGGCCCTCACAGACCTTCTGGCGGAGCTGTAACAACTTCACGTTTTGGCAATTCTCTTGAAAACGGCTTCTTTTAGAGTCGAACTTCTTTCATTATTTTAATCTCTGGATTCATCTGCATCTTTGCTCTTCTGCTCTAAAAATGTCAAATATTATGACTTTTTATCTCTTTTCTCTAAAACCTATTTTTGCGAACTCGTCCCAGACGGTTTCGCCAATCGACCTGATACTTTGGCGGGATCATCTACGGACGTCGCTGATCAAAAGTTATCAAAAGAATGCCCGTAAATCAAAACTAGCTTAAGCTTTTGTCACCAAACTTGACGCCTCTGCTCAGATGCTCGGCCCGAGCTTCGCTGAGCAGTCCAGGGATATTCTTCCACCAGGGGGTGCTAAACTAGCATAAAGTTTATACCTCATAATTTGCTGCATGGATTCGTAAAAATTCCGGTTTGATGTATAAAATTGGGTAATGACTGCTCAAAGTGGGCGTGGCTTATTACAAGAAATGTAAATTTCTAGACATTTGTCATTCCGATCTAAGAAAATCATCCGTACGTCCTCGAGAGCTGAAATATTTTCAGCTCATCCACTGATGTGTGACTAACGTTTGCTTCACTGCAACCTTTGGTGGTTAACATCTATATCTCCACAAGTCTTTCTTCAAACGCTACCAAATTCGACAGAGTCGTTCTCCAGATGGCCGATATCAAGTGTTTGAAAGGGTTTTCAGATCGGTCACACGGTGAGTCTGCAGTGATTCTCAGTATCTTGCTGTACAGGATGCACAACATTTTCTTTTTAACTCAGTTTTGGATCAAATGCCACCAAAATAATTCACAACAAACCCAAAACCAGCAGAATGATGTGTGATTTTTGTCATAATTTTCTCACCTACATCTTGACAGTTGTAGGCGTTTTAAGTTTAAACTGACAAAACTATGTGACATCACCACCTCAACCTGTGAGAAGGTGTGTGGGAACATCAGCAGCTCTGCAGCTCTGCAGGTCCAGGGTTCAAACCCCCAGGTGGGCGAGGCAGACTCGCTGACAGGGGGGGTGTTCAGATCATAGTGAGTCTCAGGTCTCTCTGGATTCTCTGACACTTTCCTCTTAATTTTCTCTCCCCTTTTCACTACTCTGCGTGTGACCGACAGCTTTAGTTACTACTTACCTGTCAGATTTTTTCTTCTGTTCACTCACTTTGTATTTTGTTAATTAATAAAAAGAATCTCAGCTTTCTTACTTTACAGCATTTTTTCCACACCGGCCTGAAACCCCTGGACAGTTCTTTACATGGTTTTCACAGGACAGCGATGCTACAGACACATGACGATCTCATAGACCAGGATGCATTGCAGCAGATTAAAAGCATATAAAGTTAAAACATCTGCAGCAGTAAAATGCAACACGTTAATATTACTCCAGAAACATCAGACAGAGAAACAGTGACAGGAACACGAGTACTTTGACTTTACTAAGGTTTTAAACGCAGGACTTTGTGTATTATTAGTTTAGTTTATTAGTTAACTTAAGTTCAAATCACAAGTTTACATCTCTGACATTTGTGCGAGAGACCTCAGGTGAGTTCTGATCTAAAGTTAAAGAAACAGGTGAGTACTCACAGAGGCCGGCCTTCAGTCTGTCAAACAACAAACAGTTGAAATATTTGAACACCACCAGAGCAGAGACCGACTTCATGTTCATCTGTGGCAGAATCCTCCAGAACCAGAACCACACATGGTCACAATAGAAAGAGGCCGTGGGCTCGGCGTGTAGGAGGAGAGCATTGTGTTCAGCTCAGCAGCAGCTTCATGTCACATGACGGAGAAGCGACAGAACGCTCTTTCATGTTGGAAACAAAGTAAAGCTGTTGCTGCGTGTTTTCTGCCTGAAGGCCGCGGGGCCACATCTCCATAATCTGTGGCTCCAGGAAGGTCACCAGACTGAGGGGCCACGTCACGCTCACGGTGACAATGCTAACCTGCTGACGTTCACTGTCTAATGATGGAAGGACATCAGCTGTGCAGGGGTTTTAGCCCGTCCTCTGCAGAGAGACCACAGCTGACCTTTCCTGTGGCAGAGGAAGTCAGGTGACGTCACATCAGGAGGAGGTGGGCTGGATGGATGAGTCAAGTGAACTCAGGAGCCCGAGGTTCAAGCTCCATGTGAAAGAAAGTCAGAGTTGACGTGTTTTACGTCTCAAAACCCCACCTGAACCTCAGAGATCCCTGGATTTGAACACAGAAGCTACGTCCCAGGATCTTTTTTCCAAAGCACTAAAGGAAGTTCCTGTAGACGGTTTGTTGTATACAAACCCTGCTGGACGCGCAGTCAGGGGGCCAAAGCGCTTCGGCAGCCGGTCAGACTGTAATCGGCGTAGGTCACGCAGGTTAAACTGCCATTTCAGAGTCGTTTCATCTGCATATTAACAGAACACGTGTGACCGCGCCGCAGCTCGGCGGCACCGGACGCCGTGCTGTTTAACTCAGCTGCGAGCCAAGAAGCTAAAGGAAGAAGGAGGCGTTCTTTCCACAGCTGGAAGCCATCAGGCCTGACTTCAGCGCAATTTATACTTCTGCGTCGAAGCGACGGCGTGGCCTCTGCGTAGCGCCCTGCCCTACGCCGTCGCCTGACGTGCACCTCATCAAAAATGTAACTACACGTCGAGTCGACGCGGACCGTCAGCTCTGCGATTGGTCGGCTGGGTAGCCTCGCTACGCCTCCGAGCCGACAGGAAGTGGCCGTGCTTTGAATTAACTTTTACTAGCGGCCAAACGGCGGCTGTAACGCGGTGGATCGATATATTTGACCGTCACAACCCGAGCGAAATGACCAGAACGTGATCCATTCGGTCGGTAACATTTGAAAACGCTGCTGCCGACTAGCGTTTGGGTGTGACTGCAGATTGACGGAGACACGGACGCGAGTATAAATGCGTGGCCCCTACGCAGGAGAATAAATCAAGTCACACTCAGAGAACATGGACTTCTGTAAACGTTGTGAGACCTGCAAAAAGCTTTTGTATTGAAGCATCTGCTAAGAAACGCGAAACTGGAACCGGCAGCTAACGGTCCTGCCGGTGAAGGTCAATCGACGTTCTCTTACGAACGCGTGTGCAGAACAGTAACGTTCGATTTTTTAAAATCGTTACATGCTCGGTAAAAATGATGCCGCTGTTTACACGCGATCCGTTAAAAAGTCGGGGGAGCTGCTTTGTTTTTGATTACTTTGAAACGGCCTGTAGGATCCAGCAGGCCGCAGTGTTCTCAGCTCGGCCGCTCGTTGCCTCCTCAGGTTCACGATTGTTCCACTAAAGTGGATTCATTTCTAAAACGAACAGCTTTCTGTCACTTTAAGGACGGCTGCGGCGGTTGAAAGTAACTGTAACGGGACTGTTTACTTTTAATAGCCAATAATAAGGAAAGTAAAGTTGTTGGTTTTTAATTTAACTCGACACGGCAGCTGGATGTGATCCTCCGTGAAGACAGAGCGCTGCTTCCTGCCCCCTGGTTGGACATCTCGGTGATGACGCTGCACAGAAACCCGTCTATTTGATAAATAGAAACTTGCTCAACCCCCTTTAAGATCCTTGGGACCTTCCAAGACTTGCTGGAACCCTCTACAAGATTCCTAAAACTTTCTCAAAGACCCTGCACACAGGAAGCTCTAGAACATCCTTAAAGATGGCGGACTGGCCTCAAAGACATGAACCTCCATCAGTGTCTCCTGAAACCCCATGAAGAACCTGCTAAAGATACTTGGACATTTGAGACTCTTCAAAGGTTGACCTGATGGTGGCGCTAGATGGAAAGGCAGAGGATCACCAAAGTTCTTACAGTTTACAATATAAAGTCTGTATTTAAAGTGTAACGTTAGGAGAAGAGCTGAATGTGTAAAACGTACAGTGTTATCTGTGAAGTATTCGTGTGTGTAAATAAAATGTGAGGTTGTCTGAAGCAGCTTCACTGACTCTTGATGCCGTCCAGGTCGACAGACATCAGCGTTTCAGCCTCGTCAGCGTCGTCTGCACTCATCACGATGCGACCAGGCGAGACGCCGTTCTGATTGGTCGAGATGGCGGGTGGGTCACTGTGAAGGGGAGGAGCTACTCGTTAGGTGGACTCAAATGCATAAATCCCATGTTTAGTGCTGCAGAGTGGATTTGAGTTTGCAGATCATCAGGTGTGTCGCTCACCTGGTGGGTGTGGTCGTTCGACCTTCCTCTCCATCGTTCTGACTGCAGCACTCTTCCTCGCCCTCCTCTTCCTCCTGGTCTTCTTCTATGGTGGCTGCAGTGTTAGGGGCGGAGCCTCGTCTGGCCTCCTTCCTCCCCTCGCTGGTCCTCTTCCTCCTGCTGTCAGTGGGCGGTTTGGACAGAGGATGATGGACGTGGAGAGAAAAGTGGCGGTGATCTGCAGCAGGATTATATGGATCGTACAGAAATACACGTTACTGTTGTGCAGTAATAATGAGGAGGAAGCAGCCCTCTAACCCTCTAAGCCTCTAGTACATCTTCAACGACCCCAACGACAACCTTTGACCTCAACACCCAGAACCTCCTTAAAACCACCTCATCATAGGACCAGGAGCCTCTTTGAGAATCCATGGAGGTTCCTCCCAGCTGAACCTCAGAGATCCCTGGATTAGAGCGTAGAAGTTCCCTCCCATGATCTATTTTCCAAAGGACTAAAGTAAGTTCCTGTAGGATTAATAGAAACACCCTTAAGGATCTTTGGAACCTTCCAAGACTTGCAGAAATCCCAGAAACTTTCTCAAACATCCTGCAAACAGGAGTAAAAAGAACCTCATGAACCTTCTTAATGACCTCTGGAACATCCTTAGAGGTGGGGACCCCCTAAAAGTGTCTCCTGAAACGCTTTGAAGAACTCTCCTTAACCTTCCCCCTGGGACCTTCTCAGGGTCTCTCCAGATCTCTAGAGCACAGGTGCAGTAAGTTCTTGATAAAGTGGAGCCTCCTCAAGAACAGCTGGTCGTTTCTAAACAGTCTCCAGAATTAAGCTATAAAATATCCTGCTGCTATGGTCCTTTGAACTCCACAGAAAAACAATGAGCAGGAACCTGAATGAATGAGCATGAACACAATAAGCAGGAACCTCAGGAACCTTCTCAGCAACTTCACTTCTAGAAAGTCCTCAAAACACAGGGACCCCAACAAAGACACGTTGGACCTGAAACCTCCTTAAACCCAGAAAAGTACCTGTAAATCCTCCTGAAACACGTTGAGATCAACACTGCGTGGACCTGATCATGGATTCCTTGAACCTGCTTAAACATCTCTTGAACCTGCTGGAGTACTGCCGGTGCCTGAAGTCGTTCTAGACTTCTAGATTGTCCAAACACATATTGAATCTTCTCAAGGCTCCCTGAAACGCCCTTGCCCTACTGGGAGAACCTTTATGACCCCCTAAAGATGCTTCAACTTCATGAAAGACGCCTTAAACCTCGTTATGAACCCCTGAAACCGTTAAGTTTTGGTGTCTCACCCTCAAAGTCTTGTTCAACGTAGACTCTGTGTTTCTCTGGCGGGCTGCGAGCTGCAGGACAAAGGATTTGCTGGAATCCCTGAACATCAAAGACCTTGTTCAGGTCCTCTTCTTCTTCATCACTCTGACAACATGGAGGAGGAGGAGACAGCGGCTGGAGAAGAGAAGAGGAGTGATGAAATGTTCACATCTAAAACTGTAGGATGAATGTGCATCACTGATCAGCACATGTAACCAGTTCTCCAGCAGATGGCAGTAAAAGCTACCATCTCATCCATTTTGGTAACAAGCAGAGTCACACTGCCGGTCTGTCTGTTGGATTTTGTTCATAAACTTTCCAAATAATTCATCACATGTCTGCAAATGAGGCGCTGTGATTGGTCTGAGAGGAACTACAGTTACAGCTCATTTTAGTTTCTGAATGCACCACACATGTTGTAGCACCTGAATGCCCCACACATGTTGTAGCACCTGAATGCCCCACACTGTGTGCTGGTTCACAGGGACAAAAACAGGTTAATGAGATCAATATGATGAAGCTGTTGGGACTCACTGCAGACAGACCGAGGGCATCACTGTGACCCAGAGAGCGCTGGTGGCTCATGGCTCCGTCAGGGGTCAGAGGTCACTGTGTCTGTTCAGCAGGTGAGTTCAGGCAGCAGAACCTGGAGGAAGAAACACTGCAGGTTATCAGGGTTTGGTGAATGAAAGTGAAGTGCAGAGGTCGGCGCCACAGCAACAGGTAAGATTCATTCGGTGTCACGCACCTGACCGTCACACGGTTCCAGGTTCAACCTATGAAGCTCTTGGTGATCATAAAGAGGTCATAGTACCTTACTACCCCACAAGAGCACTGCGCTCCCAGAATGCACCTTGGGTGAGTTTGGATTCAGGAGGCAGACACCACGTCCACATCTAACATCTAAGAGTAGGCTTAAGACTTTCCTCTTTGAGAGAAGGTGAGTCCTGAACCCTGTCAATCTTAGGCCCAACTCGTCACATATGGGCACTTTGTCAAGACCCTTAAGCCTGTTTTTACACGTGTAGGGCTCCGTGGCAATTGGCAATAATAAAATGCAACATCTGTTTAGACTTTCAAAATAAAGCACGTGGTAACGTTGTAAAGCAGTCGCAGTTTGGTTATGTTTAAGAAAAGGTTTGAGTTTAAAAAAAATCAACGTTGACTTTTTTTCCACACAGGGAACAAGCACCCGCCTCCTGGATGAAAGTCCGGTGCCTGACCCATCCTACCACCACGACCTCCTGCCTACACAGACCTTTGAGTTATTTCCTCTAGCCCTACTTTAAGAACCGGTCAATGACCTTAAAGGGTACCCAGTGCGTTAAAAAGTGCTGAGTCTGATGGGGACTCTGCAGGTCACACCGTCAGCTTTAATAATGTGAGTCTGACCAGAAGGAGGAGATGCAGAGGAGAGTGAGTCAGCAGATCAGGTGTCTGAGCCGCTGAGAGAGAGAGGAGGTATTTATAGAGACAGACAGAGAGACAGAGACAGGGAGGTATTTATAAAGACAGAGAGAGAGGCAGTCATCACCTGCAGAACTACTGACGTTCCCATCATTCCCAGCTGCACTCTGTTTACTGCTAATTAGCTGTTGATAGCATGCTAACATGCTAAACTGATGTGGTAAACATGGTGAACATTATACCTGCTAAAAATCAGTATGTAGCATGCTGATGTTAGCATTTAGCTCAATGCACTGCTGTGTATAAGCCTCAAAGAGCTTCTAGCATGCAAGCTCTCATATACATCCTCCTATTCTTTTTGTTTCTGAGAGTCAGACGTTCAGTTTGATTTCAGT